TTTTTTTTTTAACTTCCATAGATCTATGCTAAATTTCATGACTATTCCAGGTAGAGCATGGTTGAATTAATTGAAGGTGGATAAAAAATATAGAAAATTAAAAACTGAGCAGTAATAGAAGAATAAGATAATTATCAGTAAATGGTAACAACAAAAGCAAATACAGCAAGGACCAGATTGACACAGGCTCACATTCTGTTGCTGTGCAGGATCATCCTGCATTTCCCCAGTACTTTGTGTCTGCTTATTGTGCATGCAATCCCACAATTGCCTTCCTCTGCAAGAAAGCATCTTTGTCCTCTAAAAAAAACAATCTCCATTCTTACGAAGGCCAGTGGATTCCATCCTAGAGGCTGTGTTGACGGTGTCCCCAAACAGGCAATAACGAGGCATCTTGATTCCCACAACTCCAGCAGCACAAGGACCTGAAAGGAAGAACAGGAAGCTAGAGGTGGAGGCAATGGAAAGTGCAGAGTGGAGTGGAGATGAAGGAGCCTCTTCTCAGGGTCACAATGTCAAACACATCATGTCGTGGGGAAATGGCAGAGCGTGTGATGTGCTTAGTGATTTTTTGCTTTAAATGAATACACCCAGGAAGGATATGCTTTCAGAAAATATTTTGCTGTGTGAAGCACTGTTGCATTGACTCAGAACAAGAAGGCACCCAGAGATCCAGGTCACAAAAGCGGCAAGTCTTTCTTAATATTTTAAATAGAAGGGTGAAGGTGATCCCATGGCTTGCTTACTGTGCCAAACCACTCAGTCCTGCGCCCTGGACTGCTGGAGGGCACTGGTGGTTCAATGGCCCAAGTTCGTTTTATTTTTATTTTAGGGGGTGGTATTTCTGGGATTGGAGGTATAGTGATGGAAGACCAGAAGACAGGGATTGGGAATAATTTTCCCTAAGCAATTCAGGTTTGATGCAAAACAAAACAAAAACTGATTAAAAAAAACAAAACAATAGCGGAAAATGTACAGCAGGAAAGATTTGTGATCTGGCTGAGGCCCAGGAGTTCCCTCATATAAATATGGAAACATGATATTTGGCTCTGGTCATGATGGGGAAACCACAGCTATATTCCTCATAGGGTATATATAGGGTATATATAGGGTATATATAGGTATATATATATATACCTATATATTCATAGGGAATATATAGGTATATATATATATTCCTGATAGGGAATATATAGGTATTCCCCTATACCACTGGATAGGGGAAGGCTGTGGCAGAAGGACACTTAACAAGCAGAACAAAAGCCAAGGCAAGACAGCATTGAGGCATATTAATCATGTATTTGTGTGGGCTGCCTGAAAGCAAGGAGTTAAAGATTTTAGAAGCTAAAGATTAACTTGAAAACTGCAAAGCTGGGTTTTTGGTAGAGGTAATCATTAATTTTCTAGTTGACAGTAGTTTTTGATCTATTTGAGTTTCCTGATAGATTTATTTTACCCCTGTGTTTATGAACACACATAGAAAGAAAGAAAGAAAGAAAGAAAGAAAGAAAGAAAGAAAGAAAGAAAGAAAGAAAGAAAGAAAGAAAGAAAGAAAGAAAAATTTTCAAAATACCAGATCTTCCCCAGGATCCTTAGCCTTTCACTGTCAGGTTTGATGTAAAACAAAAGAAAAACCGATTAAAAAAAAATAACGAAAAATGTGTAACAAGAAAGGTTTAGCAGAAGCAGTTTTTGATCAGATCTCTGAGTTCCCCAGCCGTACCAGGCTGTGCACTAGGACTGGTAGGTCTGTTTGCAAGTGACTTCTTACTTCAACAACAGACTGATAAGGCCGTGGAAGGCCTAAAATAGCAAAATTCCTGCTGATACTGTTTCTTGTTCTCAGTTATTAATACTTAACTTTGCAACTGTTCAATTTCCTGAGCCTAAACCCTTCCAGGCATATGTGCCTAATAGCTGCTCTCATGCCAGCCCAGTATGGCAGTACCCTCGTGGTTAGCTCAGACATTGAGCAGGTCACAGGTAAGGCCTCCACCCTCCTTGATGTCAATAAATCAAGCCTGCTGCTAACCCCTCCTCCAGGTTTGACGATTTGTGATGGGACAGAAAGGAGATAGTTCACTCACTGCCTGGGTGGTCTGGCAGATGCCAGGAGTTCCCTCATATAAATATGGAAACATGACATTTGGCTCTGGACATGATTGGGGAAACCACAACTATATTCCTGGCTGTCAAAGATTTGGCAGCAGTTTTTAAGTTCTATTTACTGTCACTTTGGGAAAATCATTCATTCATATCAACAAATATTTACTGTCAGGCTCTGTAGATATAAGAGGACTTCAGGAAATGCAGTTGTTTGGTCCTTGCCACAAAGCCTAGGGGCTATCTTTTAAGTTTTCTGTACTCTGGGTCTCCTGTAAGCCTTGGACTAGGAGCAATGCCAGGAAATTTATAGAGATGTGATTTAACATGAGGAAAAACTGTCTTAATAATTAACCATTTCAACAGTGGACTGAGTTGGAAAACTATGAGTTTTCAAGGAGTCTTGGGGTTATTCTAAATGTGCCATACTATTACTTATCTTGGGACCTATAAGGACAATGGTACCTTGCAAAGGATTAATCTAGATGACTTTTGAGTTCCTTTCCAACTATGTTTTTCTGTATCCATAACTCATCTTCTCAAATCATTATGTTCAAGACTGTTAAATAAAACTAAATTTAGCCTGAGGCTGCCTCCTACCTGGCATGCCTATGGAAATTGAAAGCCTAATTTAGAAAGATACTTTTGGAATAAATGGCTAAATCTCAGGTAATCACAGCAGCTGAGAGCCAGCCAATCAGAGGCTGCTAACTGATCATATCAGGCCTATAAATGGCAAACATGGAGCTGTAAAACCAAGTGGTTTCTGTACCTTACTTCTATTTTCTGTCTGTATAGACTGCCAGCCCGTATTACCCACTGGTTCTGATGGTCACGGTTTGTCAATTGTTCTTTCTCAATTAAGTTCTGTTGAATTTGCCTGAAGTGTTTCTTTTCAACAAAGCTATGAAGTTTTTCATGGTCTTTTAAGTGGCCTATGTAATTTCTGTACGACTGCAGGGGAGTGGGGTATACCTGTTACAGGAATTTGACCAGTTATTTTTTTCCCCTGTAGATAATCAAATCCACTTAGGTACTATTATATTTTAATGGGAAAATGTACAGAAGTTGAGATTGAGAAGAAGGAAGGGATGAGGAGGAGATAAGTGCAATAGTAGATACAGTGACTTAAATGGGAAGTCCTTCTTGTTTTCATATGTGGTTGGTGTTATCCATCCAAGAGTGAAAACTGCTGTCAAATGTGTTGTTCCAATCACTCTCTATAGACTGGGTCTAAATATGTCAGGATGTGTAATGGTCTATTTGATCCACAGAATTCAACAGTAAATCTCTTGTGAAAATCAATCATGTTTGAGGTGGCTCTATTTTTTCTGATATAGTTTGTTAACAGAGGTACAAATGGTCTTAAGAAGCTTATCTCCATACCAGAGTGAACTCCAATGCGTATCCATACTGGGAGGCCGGGAAGATGCTCCAGTTCAAAGGTCCCTATGAAGCTGAGGATATCTAGGGCCATCTTGGAAATATCTACTGCATGCCGATTGCCATTTCTCTTAGGCAAACCACTAGCCACCACGTAGGCGTCACCAATGGTTTCTACCTGTGGAAATACTTTCTCATCAGAGGCTCTGCTCCTTCAAAAGGCACAGATTTTAAACAGAAGTAGTTAATCACAAAACAAACACAAAAGGTGTTTTTGGGAACTCAGGCACAGTCCTAATACACTTTTTCTGGGCCAGTTCAATACCAGTTTTATGCTAATTTCTTCAGAGTTTTTTTTTTTTTTGGTACCAGGGATTGAACTCAGGGGCACTCAACCACTGAACCACATCCCCAGTCCTATTTTGTATTTTATTTAGAGACAGGATTTCACGGAGTTGCTTAGCACCTTGCCATTGCTGAGGTGGCTTTAAACTCGTGATTCTCCCCAGCCACTGGGATTACAGGTGAGCACCACTGCACCCAGCTTCTTCAGAGTTTTTTTTTTTTTTTTTAATATTTATTTTTTAGTTTTCAGTGGACACAACATCTTTATTTTATTTTTATGTGAGGCTGAGGATCGAACCCAGGCCGCACTCATGCCAGAGGAGCGTGCCACCGCCTGAGCCACATTCCCAGCCCCTTCAGAGTTTTTATAGTCTAGTTAAATGAATGATAAAACAAAGTGTTTTATCTAAAAGTGTTTTATAATTACATAAATTGTACAGATGTGGTGACAATTCTTAAAATGTTTAAATAATCTGATTGGGTTTAAGTCATTTTAGGAATACTCTTAATTTCCAGAAAAGTAATCTATAGTTGTCTTTGTCATTTTCTACATGCAATTTGAGCAAAAATAATTGTAGTTTCCTCTAAGTTATAAGATATATTCGATTTATTTAAACTCTAGTGTATTCTCTACTTCATTTGCACTCAATCTAAATATCATCCATTTTTTGAAGGTAATTTGAGAGGGATGACATTTTCTCTAAATTTAGTTTCCAAAATTCATTCCTGTGGAAATTTTCTTCTTTTGTGCTATTTCTTAAAAGTTAAATGGTAATTTTGACATGTCACCCTTCCAATTCTTAACGCAGTTTCAACCATCAATTCATTAAAGGTTAAATTACAGAGGACGAGAAATAACGGGAAGAGCCATGTCAGGCTTTGATGCCTTTGGTCTGTTCAACCATGAGGGAAGCAGTTACCTTGTAGACATCATGGTGATCCACGATTTGGTCAAAACTCTTATAGATGTCATTAAGCATGTCCACCACTTCCATGGGGGTGCTGTATTTGCAGATAGTAGTGAAACCTACGATGTCGCTGAAGTAGATTGTAACTTCCTCAAATAGTTCTGGCTCCACAATGCCTTTCTCCTTCAGAGACTTTACCACTAGCCTAGATGATGAAGGGAAAATAATGCCTTCAACTTCAGTAAATTTTTCTTGTCTAAAATCAACATTTAAGATAGTAGTAATTGTTTACCAATAACTTAAGAATTCTAGATTTCTGGTGAATGATTATCTAGGAAGCAAAGTTAGGTTGTATCCATTGTATATATAAACACATCACACACACACACACACACACACACACACACATAATGTGTGTATTAGAACCCAGATGAATCTATGCAGGTTAAATATTCACTTAGTGTTAGGGTCCGTAAACAAGTCAAGATGGCACCTGGCATTTTGCCAGAGGCAGTGGTTTGAGAAGTAACGCCAGCGAGCCATCAAGATGATAGATTCCTTAATGACTGACTGCTGTGTCTAGATTATGTCAATTAAGTTAAGCTGTGTGTAATCATTAAGATGATGATTCCTTATTGGTTGACTTGCCCTAGTTTATGTTAATTAAGTTAAGCTGTGTATTCAGTTATGTATATATACCCCGACTGTCCTACAATAAACGGCTCCCACTGCATCAATCTTCACAAGTTCCCCGTCACCCCCCAGTTAGTTTGCTGCAGCCAGACTGTGGCAACTTAGTATTTGATTATTAACCCTAAAACACATACATACATAACCTTAATAGCTATTTAACCTTAATAGCATATAAGTCCTTGCCCACTTTTTACTTCTGTACTGATAATCAATTTCTTACAGACCTAGTTCTTTATCCAGAAGCAGAGATGGCAAATGTTATATAGATCTAAGAGCTTGACTCACCATAGTTATCATCTGACTCTCTCATCAAAGTTGATTGTTTTACTTCCCTGCCATATTTAACATGATGTTGTTTAATATCATTATGAAGGAATAATGCATTTAACATTAATTTTGATATATTCTAAACCAGAGTTCATTTGATATAGTTTGAACTGGATTTGAGTCAATCACCATGTAAACAAGTTAAAACTATGGTAGATTAGCAGAAGTCCAAAAGAAACCACATAGAATAGCTTTGAAGAAACATAACCAGCTGCATTTCAGACCAAGAATTGAAAGAGAAGAAGTACAAGAATGGACTCCATATTTTCTTCATGGACCCAGTGGCTTTCCACTGAAAAGAAGGGATGGGGGCTGACATGGTAAATGCTCTCTGTCTGACCTTGGGATCACTTTGGAGTGGATCCAAGTATAGAACTACCAGAATTAGAATCTGGAAGCTGGGAGGTACCACAGAAGCCATTGAAAATAAACCCCTTATGTTTATAGATGAGAAAGTGAAGACCTGAAAAGGAAGTATAAATTTCCTACAATCCCAGAGTCCATTAAGGACAGAGCTGGTATGAGGACTTGGCAACATTTTGTCATTCAGTCTTATTAATGTGCCATGATTCTTCCACCATTCAGTCCTTGGATATTTGGGGAGATGGGGAAGATTGGGAGGTGTGCTGATTATGTATCGAAGGAAGGATGCCCATGTCTCTCCCAGAAAACAAATCAACCATAAGTATTTGCAGTACTCATTTGGAGAAAATTCAATGCACTGAGGGAAGTCTTTTTAACTGGTGCAGTGACACAACTTGGGACCTTTGAAAAATACCCCGTTGTGTGGCTGGGCAGGCTCTCAGAGGTACTCTTGGGCTGGTTACTCTGGGCATGCCAGATATAAAGGGCAGAGCATTTTGGAGGTTACATAGATATAATGATTACATAAAAATTTCTGCCATTGTTGCCCTTCTTTCTACTGCTTATAAAAAGTCATTTGAGCTTGGAAAACTGTGTTATTCAGAAAAAGAAACTACTCTGTTGGTAGAAAAATAAAGGAGGGAATGTAACTTAGCTTTGATAACAGGGTGTTATTGATGCAATTAGTATGCAGACTAGATGTCTTAGAAAGGCTTCCTACAAGAAGAAAAACATCTATTCGGTTTCAAAACCCCAAGGGGTAATATTCAAAGAAGTGTTTAAGTGATATTTGGTTCCTACATACAGTCTTAAATGTATTTACCCTTTTTATATAAATATTTCTTCTTAATTCTTCTAGCAATCATTCATGCATGATTTAATTTTACTTTTCAAATATGAAGGATTTTTGCTGCAGTCATGGTGTACTGTAGCTTCAACATATCCGAACAGATGTGTTTCATGACTTTGGCAATCTGATGAAAACATCTACCACCTAGTGGTCAAAGTGGTTTACTGAGCCAGGGCTAGGAAAAAGGCTGAGGTGGTCAGCCAGCTGTTCCAAACCATTTGGTTGACATTCTTGGTTAAAATCACCAATAATAAAACCTAAAAAGGTAGCCATATAATCAGGATATTGTTTTGTCAACTAGGCATTAAAGGCCAGGCAAGGAACTATGCATTATAGAATTAAATTTTATAGAACTCCAACAGAAACCGCCATCCCTGAGACAAGCGTGGAGGGTACTATTCCTAGCCTTCTCCTCCGTGCTGTGAGGGCGGGTAGGTTCTGTATTAAACTCTCTTCAGGCCTAGAGACCAGACGGAGCATGCGTGTGACCCCTACCTCTTCTTATAGCACTCAGGCTTGTAGAAGAGATGCTATTTTTTAATTGAAAAAAACAGCTAATTTGATCTTGAAATCTTTCCTTTACCTGTGTAGAACTGATATTCTAAATGAAGCAAGTGTTTGAATTAAATAATCTGAGTAATATAGAAAAAGTCATAGTCGCCATAGGATAATAATCATCATGGCTGTCCCAGGCATTATGCTAATTATTTCTATCCTGCGCACGATCTCAAGGAACTCAGAGCCACGCTGGAATGTGGATGGGAGACTGGGGCTTGAAGCATTTGAACACCTGCCCAAGATTGCTCATCAGCAGTGGTTGATGGAACCATGTGTTGAAATCAGGCCCAGCTGACCTCAGATTCCATGATTTTACCTAAAACTGGACTGGCTCATTCATCCTTCATCTGATGGAACAGTTGGTTACACCTGAAGAATGCTATGTCTCACTGAAGCACAGTGGTGGGCCAAAACCTATTTCCTCACTCTTCACATTTCAATTCCCTGCTTAAAATCCTACCTGACTGTCAACACTTAGGAAACTTTCAGGTGTTTGGGAATTTCATTCTTCTGTCATGGCTGTCATGTTGCTTCACAAGACAGAGGTCAGCCTCTACATGCCTCTGATACACCCAATGCATTTCCCCTGCCCTCTCTACCAGGGATGGCTCCTAGTTCTTGTAAGTTGGATTCTACTTGCAGTCAGAAGAAATCAAAGAAAAAACTAAGAGTGCCTGGAAGCACCCTATAGTTTCTATATTCTGCAGGCAAATTTTAATTTCCATTTTGCAATTGAGAGATTAGGCAATTTGTCTTAAGTGGTAGACTTAATAAAAGTGGCAAAGAGGTGCTGACACCCAGGTGTCTGCACAGTGCATGCTACTCCTGTGTCACCATGCATATGTTGGAAAGTAATCTCTCTCTTTTAGGTATTTAGAGAATGTATGGTACATGCATTTTTAAGCCCTATAATCTGTTGAAGAATATGCAAAAGGAAACAATCCTGTATAGATCTGGGAAAACAAAAGAAAAGCAACAGCAATGCTAGTCAGATCTGCCAAAGGTTTCAGCCACAGGCCGGGAAGTCTGGCTGTGCAATCAGGGAACTATGTCAGCAGGAGGGCTGCCTCACCTGGGGAGCAGCATGAAGTTCAGTCTGTCCGCCCTGTCCCTCTCTGCTTTGTACAGCTGCGTCCTTTCCTCTACCAGATGTTCCAAGTTCCGAGAATAGAGCTGCAGGCGTCGAATCAAGGTGTCCATATAAGTTTCATTTTTTTGATCATGAAAAAGGCTGTAGGTAATAGTAGATAAAGAGATCTTCTTAATTAAGAAAACACTCAGTAAAACAATAGAAAACCACACGGAATAGGAAATTATTATTTTTTTTAAAGAGAGAGTGAGAGAGGATAGAATTTTTTTTTAATATTTTTATTTTTTAGTTCTCGGCAGACACAACATCTTTGTATGTGATGCTGAGGATCGAACCCGGGCCGCACGCATGCCAGGCGAGCGCGCTACCTCTTGAGCCACATCCCCAGCCCTGGAATAGGAAATTAAAGAAAAATAAAAAGGGCCAACAACAACAACAAAATTTAACCTGAAGAGAAACCAAAGAAAGGAAAAATAAGATCATGAATGTTTAAAATCATCTACAAAGAAAGCCACAGAATTATTTATAATAGCAAAAACTGGAAAATAATCTAAATATATACCAAAAACATAGTCTAAATATTATGTGTAATGGAATATTAATGTACCATAAAGTAGAAATGAGAATAATTAAAGACAACATAAAGAAGCACCCTTTATCACTAAGTGGAAAAAGTCAGTTTATAAAACAGTAAACACTACAATCTCAATTTTACTGGAAAACGGGTGCTTTTACTTTCTTGCTGGCTTATTCCTCTTTCCTAAAATTTTAATAATACATGATTTATAATAAAGGAGAATCATTTTTAAAATGGCCTAGAAGTGATCAATGGAAGCATAAGAGAAAGACCAAGAAAGTCCACGCCAAGCCACAGAGCATCTCCTCGGGATAATATTCTAATTCTGGATTATGTTGTTAGACCAAGAAGGCACAAGACGAGAGGCCAACTTTCTGTGACATTGGGACACATGATACCCGGTGCAGAACTCAGGGAAGAGACACACTGAGTTCTTGTGGTGTCATGTATCAGAGATCACGCTCCTAACACAGGAAAGCACCGTGGATGGTGCTGAATGAACCACGGCCACTTGGTCACGACAACTATGACAAGCACAGGCCACCACTTCTGCTCTCAGGAGGCGATGGCCTACATCATGATCCCCTGGGGTGAGGAGGGATGTTTGTTAAAAAGTCAATATATTTCTGAGTCCTACCCCAGACCTCTGTCAGTAAAACTGCTAGGCTTGCAGCAGAATTTTTTTTAACAAGCTCTCAAGGGCTCTTACTTGCCCCGCTTAGAGACCAGCTGGGTAGAATGGGTGAGGGAGCAGGTGTAAGGGACAAAGATGGATTGTTTTACTCCACCATTAATTAATGCAATTAAAATAGTTTTCCCAGCCTTGACTGCATATCTTAATCACCTGGGGAGCTATTAACACTTCTGATGCCAGCCCGCACCCCAGACCAATTACGTTAGACCCTCTGGGGCAGGACCCAAGGTATCAGCAGTTCTGAAACTGGCTCAGGTGACTCCAATGTGCAGCCAACTTGGAGAACCACCACTGAAGGCTACCATCTTCACAAGTCTACATGTCATCTGTCCTTGTACCATCTCAATTGCTCTCAGTAACAGGCCTATGAAAGAGTGAAAAGGTGGCAAGAATTAAATCCCTTATTACTTTCAGTGCCATTCCAACAGCTGACAGCTTCGTTCTACCAATCAAGGACCACACATTCACTTCACTGCACCTCATCTCCAGCCCTGGGCTTTTAGTCTCCTTAATTATCTGAATCTTTTGACCTCATGAGAACTGCAGAGCTGGGAGGAATTGAAGAAATCATCTTGTCCAATCCAATTTTACTAACAAGACAACTGACACCCTGTGAGGGAGAGAATTTGGCCCTACATCCCATAGCAAGTACTATCAGATCCTAGCGTGGAAACTGGATCTCCTAACTATTCATTCATTTTTTTTTTTCTCATCTGCAATGGATTAGCTGAAAACATGAGACATCCAGAACTCAACCTCACTGGATAATTGTGTACTGCTGCTTTTTCTTTGATGCTCAATTGTACCTGATTCATAAGACAAATCTTAAGTACCTAGGGCCAGAACTGGTCATTTTAACATTAAAAAAAACTTGCTGATCTTAAGAATTATCAAGAGGCTTTACAGATTCTCAAGACCTATTATCTTAATTACCTGCACAAGGATCTGGTATTATATTTTTAACAGAAATGCTATGATCAGTTAGAACTTGTTTTCAACCAGACAATTTGTCTGACATTTTAAAATTTTCAAGCAAATGTGTCCCTGAGAAAATGGCCTGTTAGTCTTCATATCATTTTAATTTTTATGGGACAGGTGTTTGCAGTCTGGGATCTTTCACTGGAATAGGCAGACTCATTCTTGGATACCACTGAATGTCAGCTGTCACTGAAAAACCCAAAATTTGTGAAAAGTAAACATTTCATCAGTACCCAAATATCTTGGCCAGTGTGTTTTCGATTTTCTTGAAATCTGGTCTCTTTTCTGGATCTTCCTCCCAGCAGCTTTTTACAAGTAAATACACCTGGAAGAAGGAAGTAGGGTGAATTAGTTCAGAGGATGGTAAATTCAGACAAGGTCGCCTCCTCTTCTCTTCTTTGATGGGAGTAATTAAGAAGACATATTTCTCCCTCACCGTCCCCCAAAAAGCCAAACCTCACCTCTGACATTGAGAATAAAGCTAGTTCTGCATTTTCCATCTCGGGTATTACCACCTACACTACCTTACCCAGTAGTTTCTGTGGGTGAAATTAATGAAAAACATGATACCAGTTTGGATGAGACCGGGTTGATGCAAGAGACTAAATGCTTTGCAGTAGTTTGCAGTGTTTGTGCTGGCGAGGGCAAAAATTAATGGGGCTTGATGAGTAAGTGGCTCTAAATGAGAATAAGAGCTGGACAGCAGTCAGTGGTTTTCCATTGAGCTAAAAGAATTGCCTGGGGAGCATGTATGTTTCTTATAGCCAGGCCCCACCTCAAGAGCTTTGGGTGTAACTGTAAGATAAACAATGACTAATTCACTAGAATAAGTGTGTCCCCAATTTTGCATGAGGAAAGGACAGTTTTATATTTTTTTAAAGTTCCCCATGTAATCCTAATACACAGTTGCACTAGAACAGCAACATAGAGAAAGGAGAGGTGAGGAGAAAGAGGGAGGCAGAAGGAGCCCATGGAATCTTTATTTTATGAAAAAGAGAGGTTTTTCACTCTAAAAACAGGCAATATTAAATCCCTGTTCTTGTACTTTGCTTGGGAAGGGACTGGAGCCCTGGTGTAGCCTCTGGCTGTCTATAACTCACCATGAGGTGATGTCCTTGCTTGATAAATGGCCTGCTGACTACCTTATAGGAGATTGGATAGAAACCACTAGAAATGTTCTGGAACAGCACCACAAAGGAAAATCCTGAGTAGCTTTTGGCATCGCTCAGTGATCAGACTTGTCTTCCATTGGAACCAGCTACTAGATATGAAATCTCATTCCTTATTTTCAATTCCAGAACCATCCAACTATGCACAAATGAATTGAGGATGAAAATGCTTTGGTGAAAAAGGTTTTAATCTGAATATACTCTTGGCCCTCTGTATCCCTATCGGTGGATTCTGCTTCTGCATCCATGGATTCAATCAATAGCAGGTTTAAAAAAAAAAAAAATCAGGTCTGTACTGAACACATATAGGTTTTTTCCCTCATCTATATTCCCTAAGCAATACAGTATAAGAAGTATTTACATAGCATTTACACTATATTTAGATATCATAAATAACGTGGAGAATGACTTAAAATACATGGGAAGATGGGTATAGACTATATGCAAATGCTATGCCATTTTATTGAGCAGACAAGGAACCAATTTCCTGCAGATCCTGAGGACAACTATGCTCAGGTTAGAGAGTTTGAGAATGGATGGATGATATGTGGGGAGGTATAGAGAAGCAGATGAAAAGAAGGAACAAGGAGAAGGCAGGAATAGGAGCAATTGTACCTCAGAACCCTGGGCTACAACGTGCCTGTGCTATTGAAAAGGAGCAGACGAAGAGGAGAGGGAAGAGTGGCCTATTTTTCCTGGGTGGATTCTGGCTAGAAAACTCATCTGGCATGGACTTATACACAGAAGGACAACATTTCTGCTTTTATCCCACAAGGAACAAAAGGTATATGTGTGTGTAAAGCACCAGAAAGATTTTTAAAATACTTGACTATCTCTTGTATTAAGGTTCAGGTAAAATTCTAAAAAAAAAAAAAAAAAAAAAAAAAAAAAAAAAAGTAGAATTTTTTATCCCCAGCAGTAAAGCTTTTTCTGAAGGATTGTTAGAAAAATTAATAAATAAATAAGCAAATATGGAGAGAAAAACTCCATTTCTTCCTGGGGAAGAGTAAACGTACACTTAAGTTTTTCTAGATATTGGAATATTTCTTTTTAAATCATTAGATAATACTCTATAGAGTATATATTTTTACAAGACTAACAAGGATATCACATTGACATCTTGTTCTTTTAGTTGATAAAAACTGAGAATGTGATGTGTGTTTTAGGAGCCAGCTGTTTTCTGATTTGGCAGCAGAGGAGGGCATGTGGAATATCTCATCCCTAGAATGTGTGAGTATTACTTTTATCTGCAGGGGATAATTTTAAGACTCCCAGTGAATAACTGTGAGGAGCACTGAACCCTGTACATACCCATGATAAAGTTTAATTTATAAATTAGGCATAGTAAGAGAATAACAACAATAACTATGATAAAACACTTACAATAATATACTGGAATAAAATTTCCAGCTTCATTACCATTGCATTTGGAGGCCATTATTAAGCAAAATAAGAATTACTTAAATAAAAGCACTTTTATCCCTCAACAGTCAATCTGATAACCTAGATGGCTACTGAATGAACAATGGGAGGGTAGTATATACAACATGGATATGTGAGCAAAGGAATGATTGATATCTCAAGTGGAACAGAGTAAGATCTTGTCACACCACTTAGGATACACACTGTCAGGATGTCACACCATCTCTGATACACAACACCACCAGAACTCAATGTGTCACACTACTCAGAATAATATGTAATTTATACCTTATGAATTGTTTATTTATGGAATAATAAATATAGTAGTTTCAGACTACAATTGCCCATGGATAACTGAAACCACAAAAAGCAAAACTGCAGATAAGGGAACCATTATATTTGGAGAAAGAGTCTTTGCAGATGTAGTTAAGTTAAAAATCTTGAGGTGGGGCAATTATGCTGGAATTGGGTGGGTCCAAATGCAGTGACATGTATCCTAATAGGAAGAAGATTGAGGGAAAACAGACAGAAAAGGAGGAGAGAATGTGACCAAGAGACAGAGCTTGGAATGTGGGCCCACAAGCCAAGGAATGTCAACAGCTATCAGAAGCTTCCGGAAAAGGCAAGGAATGAATCATCCCCTTAGAGCTTATGGAAGGAGTGCAGCCTTGTCAACAACTTGATTTTAGAACTGTAACTGAATAAGTCTTTGTTGTTTTCACCACCACATTTGTGGTGAATTTTTAGAGCCGGCCAAAGAAATGAATACAGGGGAAGATGTACTCACTTCCAGCTCTTTTTCGTCTGCTGTTTCCAGGAAGAGATCTGGGCGGAAGGGTTTCATGCCATTGGAATTTTCCACTCTGAAAATCTTCTCTGATTGGTGAGAATAGTCAAGTTAGCATCATCACCTTCAGAAGGCTTCTTGTGTCCAATACTCGGGCCCCACCCTCCCTAAATCCCTTAGTCATCTTACTTCCCATGGTGTTCAGAGTTGGCACATAATAAATGCCCAGTAAAGTCTGAATGGATGTTTAGAAAAATAAAAAATCGCATGCTATTCTGACTCATGGAATTATACTCACTACAGTGACAGTGCTTCACCTTTTGATTAAAAATGATTTGTGTATGTAAAAATAAATTGGAGAATGGAATGAAATATTTTCCTCTGAGAGGATATGACAAAAAAAAAAACTGTAGCTCTTCTCATAGTAAAAACTGAAATATTTGTGTCGTCTTGCTAGAGTGACCAGCTCTTTCAGAATCAGAAGGAAAGGCGGAAATTGTAAGGGAAGATTCTTTGACCACAACACTGACAGCCATGACGCCTGGCAGGGCACATTATCTTGTGCTTTTCGGGGACTCTAACTCTTAATTCTTCCAATAACCATGTAAAATGTGTAGTGCAGATGCGCAGTCACTGCTTTTGCAGATGAGATATGGTTACAAGGAGATTAGGGCCTCACTGAGCCCAGAATGCAGGTTGGCTGGCTCCCAGCTGGGGCAGCGGAGGGGGTTCAGACTTACCTTTCTGGTCCCGGCAGCTCAAGGTGTAGAAGGTTTCTCTCCGCAGGATGATCTCCTGGGCGATGATTCCAAAGCTGTACACATCTCCCTTCTGAGAGATGTTGGCTTGGCGGAGGTGCTCTGGAGCGGTCCACAGGTCTGTGCGTTCAGATATGGAGAGTGCAAAGTTGGGGGGAGCGGCCTCTGGGTCTCCAACCTGCTTTTGCTTTTTAAGTTCTATGCCATCCACCCAGAAAACGGTTGGTTTTGGAATGGTGTGGTCCCAAACTTTTAAGGACTGTAGGTTCATACCAGTGATAGAAGGTAGAATAACACACTTAGCTTTAAAGCTGACTTTGAAAAGTCAGAATTTGGGTGAGATCATATGTGTTCTCTAAAACAGCTAGGATAATAGTTCTGATAATAGTTCTTGAGGTCTACCCAGAACAGGACCTGGTGTGTAGTAAGTGCTCAATAAATATGTTGAATGAATGCAATAGAATATGAGAGGCTGAGGGATTTAATAACTTATGGTACATATGGAATGAATTTTTGAAAGCTTTTATAAACAAATAAATAAAAATTTATATATTTAAACAAATTTTATTATTTAAATTATTAGAATTTATTTTCTCTCTCTCTCTATATATATTATATATATATATATATATATATATATATATATATATATATATATACACACACACACACACACACACACACATACATTTTTCTGGTACTGAGGATTGAACCCAGGGGCATTTAACCACTGAGCCACATCCCAGCCCTTTTAATATTTTATTTGAGGCAGGCTCTCACTGAGTTTTTTAGTGTCTTGCTAAATTGCTGAGGCTTGCTTTGAACTTGCGATTCTCCTGCCTCAGCTTCCTGAGCTGCTGGGATTACAGGCGTGCGCCATGGCGCCTGGCTTTATATTATATATATATTTAAATATGTAGTTACTGAAAGAAGATAAAAATATTTTCCAAGCATAATATACTGGTGGCCTCCAAGCCAGTTCATGCCCACAGAGGCAGTTTCTTTAGTGTTCCCACAGTATTCTTAAGAAATATGATGTATGTAATTTAATCACATTTTATTATGTTCACACCACTGTAATGATTTACATAGAGCCCATTTCACATGAATGAAATGCCTGTGTCTTGGTACCTAGAGACACCTATATTCTGGACACCCATTATGTATCTGATTTAGCAATGACAGGAGCATAGAATTAATTCATTTTTCTTCAGCACTCTCTGGAAAGATTTTGGAATCACCCCACTTCTTATAAATGCTTTGAGATTTTGATATTCAGTAGTTTTAATAAAACAATACATAGATAGATTCATGTTGCTGGGCACAGTGATGTATTTATGATGAAGCACATTTTCCTCATTTGGTTCTCCAACCAAAGTTACATCACCTTTTCGAATTCCAGTCTTATAAATATTTGTGACTTGTGATTTACTCACAGTGGATCCTAAAGGTTTGAGGTTGTTGAAAAGGTATGTAATCTACTAATACTGCAGTCATCTGATGAAGGAGATTTGCTCCATTACATCATGAGCCATGTTTGGCACACAGTAGGGCTTCGAAAGAATTTACTGGATTGAATCCAATATCATATTTTACTCAACAAGACTGTGGAAGTCAGGACAGAACTGTGATTTTTACTAAGGAAAAACTAAAGGATTGTGAAATTAGAATTAGACACAGAGTTAATTTTTGGATTTAGTAGTAATTTTAGGCAACATGAATGCTAGATTTCTAAGGCTGCTTAACTATGAGTTATAGTAAAGAAAGGATAAATATTTAACATGAAAAACCCTTCACACTCTACAAACCAAGTTACCTTTTTTGACCCACCACATTCTGAAAATGATGAGAATATATTTCATTGAGAAGAGGTTTTTTTTTCTTATGCTTTATTACCATTGAAGAATGAAAGATGTGTAGCTTTGAAAATGCTTTATATTTTTTTCTTCTAGGGAAATCTTGTAACTTCTCTGAGTCTCAATTCTGATTTTTTTTTTAAAGAAGAGGATTAAACCAGATAATTTCTAAGGTTCCTGCCTGCACTATACTTCTATATTTTTTCATCCTATTTTGTTTCACAAATCAATAAATTCTTCATGATCTCTCACTGATATCAGGGGACACTCAGCTGAGCATTGAGGATAAGGTCCATAAAGAATATTTGTTTAACTCCGATGGAGAATGAGCCTCTTGTCGCTCCAAGTTTTTGTTTTCTGATCAATATCACTGTTTTTCTAACCACTTTATCTCGGCTTGAGAGAAAAAAAATTTTTTAAAGTAAGAAGAAAGAAAAAGAAATGCCAAATGGGAAGCTAGTGAAAAAATTTCATTCATTACAAACCTTTCTTTGGAAGTAAAATGGAATTGCAGCCAAAATCGGTGATCTTCACCACCATTCGACTGTCCACTACGCAGTTGGTGGATTTCAGACGGCCATGGACCTCTATTTTACTGGAGTGCAGATATGACATCCCCTGCAATTTTTCGGATGACAGGAAAACAAAAGAGATGAGACACACTTCAGCTGCTTGATTATTTCAAAGGAAGAAGTGACATTTTGACATTATTTCAGCATAAAAGATAGCCACACTGTCAGATTTTAAATTTAGTACCATTACTTTTGGTTTATACATTTTATTAAAGCCTTAATATTTTTCTACATATTCTATATCATTTTGAAGTCTTATTTAGGCTACAGAGTAGATAACAGAGTAAAAGACCATTGTGTAAAAACTCTGGTTAAGTAATTTTGTATGAGGCACATGGTTGAGACAAATATAAATGTGTGTTTATATATAATTTAAGTGTTTTACTTGCCAGTGATTTGGTTTGTGACCCTGTGTATGTCTCTGGTTCTTGGCTACCTCAATTTTTCAAATATGAATTATAAGTCCTTGTTTTTTGAAGGGAGGGGCTGGCCTGGATTATTTCTTAAAATCCAATTGGTTTCATTCTGTTTTGAAACAGGAGCGTTTCATTGCTTCTGTTTGAAAGGGGAAATCCAATTTTAGCTCTTGTACCACCCTCTGGTGGCCAGAGGTGTCATAGCCAGAACTGTTTTTCAACCTTTGTAGGAGTGAAATTGTACAAGCAAAAAGGTCATCGTGACATTTTTTGGAACCATACAAAACGATTTACTCTTGGGAAAACTTTTCTTCATTCTCGGATAAGGCCATGGTTACTGTGTCCGCTTCCTTTTTCATGTCATGTCTGGAAATAGTCATGTCCAAATTTATTATTGCTTCATGTAAGACAGCTGCTTGTACTTCGTGTTTTTTTCTTAGAAAGTTGAAAGACTTCAGTGGTCTTCCATGAAGTTTAATATGATTTTGATTTCTGACAAATCTATGAAAATGTATGCCCCACACCCAGAATACAAAAAAAAAAATACGACAACAAAAATAATGTCACCAATGTATATGGAATATTGATTTGTACTGGGCCTTGTGGTAAGCATGTGCATGATTTCATATTTTATATTTCATAGATGACATAGCTACCGTTATCATTCTACAAGTGAAGAAATCAATGCACGCTGAGGTTGAATATAGCCAGATCTGTTTTATATTTAATTTTCATAAAAGTTTCTTATTTTCATAGGTCTCTTACCTTAGCAATGTCATACAAGACAGAGATTTTAAACTCCCAATCCATGAATGTGCCATCAGGGTAGGAAATTGTGTCATTCAAAACTTCCTGAATAGGAGAAAAGAAAAGAAAGAAGGTGAGCTGTTGTATGGAAGAATGGTTTGGAGAGACTATTATGAGCCAAACAATAATCTCCTAATCATGAGAGCTTGGGATCATGATTGTGTGAGGGTACTCACCCAAACATAGAGGGTTTAGCTTACTACCCACATAGGCAATGCGGTATGTATTTTACATGGTACAGCCTATTGCTCCTAGGGCCATGATGATTAATAGGGAACAGACAGATGTGAGGTGTGGAAATATGAGGTTAAGGGAATAATAATTCTATAAACTGGGCCCACTGTGCTGACTCCCACTTGCTTTCTTCTTTTAAAAAACAATTTACCTGCAGCCCTACCTGGCTGAAGCCAACAGGATGTATGACATTCCTCAGCAAACTAAAGTGAAATGCAGGCCCCAAATGCTGATAGAACTTACCCTGAAGTCGGGGTCGGGAACTTTTGTAATCCTCACATAGACCAGATTCCAGAACTCAATGAGATAAAGATAATTCCCCTTAACCATAAAACCCGTAAGAACAGGTTCCAATGAGAACTGGCCAGCATGGGCCAAAGTGACCTAGCGCTGTCATGCACAGTGGGAACTTGGAAGTCTGATGTTATCATGCTGTCGGTCAAAAGTTAAGAGGTAAACCTGGGTGGGACTCTCTGGAAACTTCCCTGAGACCCCCCCACTAAAACTAGAGGAAGGAGAGAAGACACCCTGTACCCTCTCCTTTCTGAGAGGACCCATTGTGTCCCTGGAGAGTGTCGTCTTTTCCCATTTCCTGTCCCTTTTAATAAGCTCATGCCTGTTACTCTGAGTAACATCTGAAATCTTTCTGGCATGATTGCAAGAATTGGGATGCAGGGGGTGCCTCAGCTATACGGTGGGTCTCTGCCCTGTAACAATGATCAAAACAACAACAGTAAATACAGCACAAGATGGAATGATGTCATGAAGAGCGCGGGAGACACGACGTTTATGGGGCAGCTGCCTGCACAGCACCACACATTGTTTACAGTACGACTTCTTTTATAAGGAGGAGTACACTCTAAAACAGTGATTAAAAAACATACTGTGGTGATACCTAAATCAGTCACATGATCATTTATTATCATCTTCAAATATTATGTATCATGTATATAATTCTGTGTGCCCTCTGACCGGCAGCACAGTAGGTTTGGTGACACCAGCATCACTACAAACCCATGAGGGGTACACTGTGCTGTGATCTTACAGTGGCTACAATGCCACTGGGTGATAGAAGTTTTTCAGCTCTGTTACGGTACGGCTGTCAGATCTGGGGCCAATGCATGGCTGAGCCATGTGTTATTAGTACATGACTATTTCTTTCCTTCACTGAGAAGCATGGAGTGGCTTTCACCATCAGACAGGGGCCAAGAAATGAGCACACCCCACCTGGAAGGAGAGCTGGGAGCTTGATTAAAACGTGGTTGCCCTGCATGCCCCATCTTTCAAAAGTTGGATCAGTGCTTTTCTCGAAAGCTTAATCATGCTAAGTTTTTCTTAGGTTTGCTAAGCCCTCTATCAAAAAGAGGGTTCTTGGATTTTTGTGTGAATTCTAAGAGCTAGACTTTTGACCCAAATTACACAAAGGAGGCTCTATCAAGACACATCTTTGTGTGTGTGTGTGTGTGTGTGTGTGTACGTGCCCGCTTGTACCAGGAGTTGAACCCAGGGGCACTTAACAACTGAGTCACATCCCCAGCCCTTTTTATATTTTATTTTGAGACAAAGTCTCACTAAGTTGCTTAGGGTCTTGCTAAGTTTCTGAGGCTGGCTTTGAACCCACAATCCTCCTGCCTCAGCCTCTTAAGCTGCTGGGATTACAAGTGTGCACCCCTGCATCTAGCAAGACACATCTTTTTAATAAAGTCAATAAGTAATCCTAAATGATATCCTAACAATCCTTATTTAAGGAAAAAGCTCAATTTGACCTTCAGTTTTAATTTAGGCCCTGTAGCCCTAATTTCTAAAAAAGTGTCTGAAGTCATTGACCGTTTCAGATGAGACTGGCTGGACTGTGGGTACTAGGGAGTTAAGGAAGGAGAGTTATGAGCACACAGACTCTCTACAGTAATTATTTCTCTTTCTATCCATTCTTTACCTTTATCTCACCCTTTACCCATCCTATCTTGCTCTCATCGGACAAATTGTAAAAAGTGTATTATTCTGTTTGACTATGAAGGGAATATATACATAGTACAGAAAATATGAACAAAATTTACAAAATATAAAAAAGGAGAAAATAAAAATCACAGCTAGTTGCATCATCTAACTTGTTCTCATTCTGGTATTTCCTTCTATTCCTCTTCAATGTTCATTTACCTAAGGTATATGTACTATGTCTTACAAAATTGGGACCATAATATATATGTAAGTTTTTTTATATTAATTATTTTTTAGTTTTCGGCAGACACAACATCTTTGTTGGTATGTGGTGCTGAGGATCGAACCTGGGCCGCACGCATGCCAGGCGCGTGCACTACCGCTTGAGCAACACCCCCAGCCCTATATGTAGGTTTGTGTGCTGTTTTCTGATCAATTTTAGTAGGTGATCTATTTATTTCCTTAGAGATAGTTGAGAGAATATACATCAGGCCCTGAGTTTGGTGCTAGGATTACAGTGGGCCCTCTTAGGGCATTCATGATCTGGTGGGGGAAACTGACACTCGTAAAATAACTGTAATAAATATGAAATTATAAATATGATAAGTACTATAAAAAGGGACTACAGATCTGAGGATTGACCCTTACACTCTGGGAATTTGTTATGTAAGTCAAAGATGTTTCCTTCAGAAAGTGTGAGTAAAGCTGAGATCTGGACACAGTAGGGAAGCAAGTTCTATGGAGAGAGAACTGCTCCGGCAAAGTCCCTCTTGTGAGATGAAAAGTCTGAGGGTCCTATTATCTCAGCCCCATTTACTAAATTACCCTTTCACCAAACTTGACAATATACTAATGCTATTCTTGGACCATGTATTTTTCTTCCATAAATCATGTCTTTATTCATGAACTATTACTAGACTGCTTTTATTATAACTTTCTGGCAAGTAGCCTCTCATTATTCTTCTTTGTTAAAATGTTTTGTTTATTATTGCTCTTTTATATTTTTTCCTGATGATCTTTGTTAACCAAAAAAAAAAAAAGGGGGGGAAAGAAAGTCTGCCTTTGATTGGAAATTCTTTGTTTTTAGAATTTATATATTTCCATATAAATTACAATCTGTGGTAGGCGAATAAACTGGCTCTATGAAAATAGCCCTGATTTAAGTACTTGCAGACTCTACGGTGAAATGCTCCCATCTGAAATATTTCAGCCACCAAGAATTCTACACTGACTAGTTAACAAATTCCTAAATATTTAACAATCAGCTTTGAGCTAGCACATGTTGAATATCTCTTATGTGAAATGCTTGGGACTCGGTGTGTTTCATATTGTGGATTTTTCCCCCCAATTTTAGAACATTTGTATATACATAATGAGATATCTTGGGCATAGAACCAGCTTGCTTTGTAAATTTATTTATCTTCCATGTATATCTAACACCAAAGCAGCCATGTTCAGAGGTGAGTCTTTTGAGAAGCGATGGGATCTTGGGGCCTCTGAACTTATCAATGGATTAATCCTCATTAGTGGATTACTTGGAGTTGGTGGAAACTGGAGTGGGGGGGGCATGATGGAAGAAGTAGATTACAGGGGGGGCATGCTCTAGAAGGGTATTTCTTGCCCCTACCCCATTCCTTGCTTTCATTTTGCTTCCTGGCTGCCACACCAGTGATTCCACCATGATATCTGCCCTTACCACAGGCCGAAAGCAATGGAGCCAGCGACCGTGGACTGCAACCTCTGAGATCCTGAATCAAAATAAATCTTCCCTCCTTAAACTGATTTTCTCAGATATTTTGTCTCAGGGATGAAAAGCTAACACGGTGAGCCTCTACACCACTCAAGACAGGGACTAATTGCTGGAAAGAATCAGCTACATGATTATAGGGTGGATATTTTGGCCTTGTCCCTCCCCTTTCACTAACAGGGAGGAGAAAGGGCTGGAAATAGAGTTAACCGTCAATGGTGGATGGTTTAATCAATGGTGGCTCAGTGATGGAACTTCCCCCAAGTCCCCTAAGTGAAAGGGTTTGAAAGCTTCCAAGTAGGTCAACACATCTACAGGCCAGGAGGGTGGCACAACCCAAGTCTCTAGGGACAGAAGTGCCTGTGCTTGGGATCTTTGGGAAGTTTCCCTAGGTATTTCTTATGAGAAATTGCCGTGACTCCATTTTTGAGAAACCAGCCTCTACCTCAGAGCAAAGCCTGTCCAAGGAAGGTGGCATGACCCTTGTCCTTGGAAAAACCCACAGAGCACTCCTAGGCACATACCCACCCTGCTGAGTTGTTTGTCTGCAAATAAAAGGAGAGATCTGCTGTGCCAGGTGTCCCTGACTCAGTTAGGCTAGGTGGGGACCCATAGCAACCCCCTAGCAGCCACCAATCAGCATGAGATAGAGAAAATACCTGGGATGCCAGATGATCCCCCAGTAGTTTATGGTGGTTGATAACATGTGGGGAAACCATGTAGTTTAGCACGTACACCCTTCATGGCCTAAACCAATCAGTTCAAAGGAATCCCCCTCTTGTACTAACCAATCACCCCTACCCAACTTGTTCCTGCCAGTGAATGTGCTAATCAATGTTAAACGTTGTTGTTGGAGTTTCTCTCAGTGTGGAATGATTTGCTGTGTGATGTTGTGATGCACAGAGTATCCCCCCAAAACCTATAAAATCTCACTGAACAAAGGACCAGGACTCACTCCCGGGGACCGCTGAGTCGGGAATGGTTGTGAGTCCAGGCTGGAGCTTGCAATAAAGACTCTTGTGTGATTGCATCGGATTCGGCTCCTGGAGGTCTATTGGGGTCCCATGAATCTGGCATTACAGTTCATCTGGCTGCTTGTCTGTGGTCTTTATAATAGACTTTATAATAAACCAGTAGTAGTAAATAACTTTTCTCTGAGTTCTGAGTCATTCTAGCAAATTATCAAACTCAAGAAGGGAGTCATAGGAATGCCTGATTTTCAGCTGGTTGGTCAAAGTACAAGAGGCCTGGGATTTGCAGCTGGGGTCTGAGATAGGGACAGTTGTGGGACTGAGCCCTTAACCTGTAGAGTTTGATGCTAACTCCAGGAGTTCATTGAAAAAATTGAACTCAACACCTAGTTAGTATCCAAAGAGTAGAAGAACTAAGTCTTTTAGGATGAAAAAACCTCATATATCTTATGTCAGAAGTATTAGTGAAACTGGTTCAGAATTGGCCTACTTAAAATTTTACTTTTTGAGTCAGATCTTCATGATTTTATTACTTCTGAAGTTTTTTCTTTTCAAAGATACTATAATTTAGTAGCAATGAAGTGTTTTCCACAATTATAATTGTTTTCCCACATATAATTGTAATTGTGGAAAACACTTCATTGCTACATGTTTTCACTGCTTTTATTATTCCTACTTTTAAGTATTTGTATGTTTATTTTTAAAACCACAATTAGAAGTAAGAGGCTTGTGTGTTTTCATAGTTTTTTTTAAACTCAGTGCATTTTGAATTTTATTTTGTTTTATAATGATTGATATTGAACATCTTCTTCCCTTTAGGCCGTAGTTATTATTCTAAGTTTTGAATAACTACATTATTTACTATTGTTTCAGAAAGAGTCACATTTAGAGTTACAGTTTTTTTCTTTGAGGATAGATTTTGGTTTATGCCACATATTTGGAAAGCTACTGTTTTTGATTTTTTGTTTTGTTTTTTGTCTTGTTTTGTTTAATTGAAGCCCATTAAAAAATTCATAATTTCCAAATTATTAGTTTTGACAAAAAATTATTTTTTAATTTCATTGAGTTATGAATATCTGAACCTCTTTGAAGTTACCAAAGCTTCTTAGGAATTTGGCTTAGGAATTTGGCTTTGTTATGAGGACACGAGGTTCCTAAGAGGTACTGAATATAATCCAAAGGCAGGGCTACCCACACATCTTGATTTTCTTGGTCCAGTTACACTTTGTGTCGGTTATTCCAGGATCATTATTATAACACCCCCGTCACTGTCAAAGTATCCTGATAAATCACTGGGTCACCCTACCTTTGGGCCCTCATGGCACATGCCCACAGACCATTCAGTCTGGTTCAGGTGTATCAGTGTCCCTTGAAGTCATTGTCCTACAGTCCTTCCTGCTCTTGCCCTTTTCAATCCCTGTTTCGGTTTGACACCTGATTCTTGTGTTTTGCAAATCAACTGTGCTTGCCCTTCAGAACTATGTGATGATTTGACACTCTTTGCTTAGTGCTTGGTTCTTCCTATGAACTTTACTCAGTCTTGTCGTATTCTTTTTTTTGCTTTGGACCTGCTCAGCCAGAATACCTGACCAAGGCAACTCCTGGTTATCTTCAGTCCTCTCACAAGGAAGAGCAGGTAGGAATTTAGACCAGAGTAGACCAGGACTTATGAACAAGTCCTCTTGTGCTTATTTGGTGCTCTGATAACAACTATCCATTGATCTTTCAATATAAAAACAAGTGTAAAATATAATATATTTGAGTAAAATTCAAATAAAATATAATGCGTTTGATCCAGGTGTGAGAGCACACGCCTATAATCCCAGCTACTCAGGAGGCTAAGGCAGGAGGATCAAAAGTTCAAGACCAGCCTCAGCAACTTAGCAAGACCCTGTCTCAAACTAAAACTTAAAAGGGCTGGAGATATAGCTCAGTGATAGAACACTTCTGGGTTCAATCCCCACTAACTGCTCAACCTGCCCAATACACACCACAAAGTGTATTTTGAAGTAACCACTCACTTTCCTACTTCTGTTCTCTGTTCCTTTTCCTCCCGTCTACATTCCTTTTCCGAATATCTTTTGGTTTCTTTGTAAAGAGATTATAGGACTGATTGATAAAATCTGAGGAATCTAGTTTGAAAAGTATGTGGGTCTACCAACTTTTCCTGATAACTCTATAGTATTATCCCCCTGGGAAAATAGTTTTTAAAGATCTGCTGATTTTTTTTTTTTTAAATATGGTTGACTTCTTAGGAAATTGAAAATGATGCTGGTTTCTTACCCGGAGGGATCCTCTCTCACAGTATTCGATCACCCCAAAGATCCTGGAGTCAAGCTTCACTGTGCCATAGAACTTGGTCAGGTTGTAATAGTCAGTCTGAAGCAGCTAGGAGAACATGTGTGTTTACAAAGCATATCAACCAGAAACCGGAACCAGAGAAAATATTCATATGTTAGCAAAATGTGTTTCATTTGGGAAGATGCATTGCTCTTAATAAATTGAATGTCAGTACCTGTTTGTTACTATAAATTGTGTTACATCTTATTCAGCAGTCTTTCCTTTGCTAGCAAGGTGACTTGAATACAAATTTCACTACTTTTTTTTTAATATTAAGAATGTATTTTAGAACATACCAGCATATTTCCAGAATTTTTACACTGTAAAATCTCACCCTCCAACATCTCTAGGCAGAGTTTTCAAAAAGTATCTAAGTCATTCATTTCTTTCTCCTAAGACATTTCTCCACAGGGGACCTCTGTGTTCAGGGAAAATGGAATGAGGTTAATTCTCAAGGGGTTGAAGTATAGGACACATACCTTGTTCAGTTCTATCTTCTGTTTCTCATTGAAATTGCCATCACTGTGCTTGAGATCTTTGAGGATCACTCTCTGCAAAGATCAATTGAATTAAGGAGTTACTATTGCAATGTAATTCCTCAGATAAATGGGTATTATGATAATATTTCTGTTTCCCTCCAAATAGTTAACTTATCCTTTGGTTCCCCCAGGATGGTGAGTTTTGTAACCTTCAAGCAGAGCCCTGCCTATCCTATGAAGCTCTACAAACGGCCCTTTGAAGCAACCTGGGAAACATCCCCCCCCCCAAACCCCTCACCCACTATCCCCCTAGCAAAGTCAGGGCTGGGACCGTGATGACTCAGAACCTACTCCCAGTTAGAGTTCAGAGAAGTGGGGGAGACTGGAGTCACCTTTTTGTCATACTTGCATTGTCGAAGTCTCTGGATTGTGTCTCGTCTCTTGTCGTCATCAATCTGGCACAAGAAAAGGCTAATTATTCCAGAACTTCTGGTTTGTCCCATTCACTGCCTGTCAAAGGCTGAGAGGCTCTTCCCGCTGGGCTGTATCTGCTGTTTGCTCAACATCCCAGAAACACTGGGGTAACTGACTTGTCTTTCCCTCCCACTACTCACTCCAACCTCTTCTTCCCAGTATTGACTATATCCTCCTTAACACTGGGTTCTCCTCGCTTTCTCTCCTCAGCCATGGATTTTCTTTCTTCCTTCTTCCCTTAACCCCCTCCTATGGTGAATTATTGCCCATAGTATAGACAAATGCTCTTAGGGAATGGTGATAAAGGAAGATGCTATGCATTTATTTTAGTTGCAAATTAATGCTTGAAAGTCCAAGTAGCAGTCCAACAATTCTGGGTTCTGCTCAGAATTGTCAGATCATCTGATTTGTCAAAAGAAGCTGGTTGATAAATGTAGATTTTTACGTGCTACACCATGATATTTATATGCTGGCAATTGATTTTTTAAATGTTAAGTACTGAACAACACACTCCCAAACATTGATACCTGTGGGCTAGATAGGGCTGTTGGTTTGCCAGTTAAAGATTTCTAGTCTCAAGACTGAGGAAAGGCTGGGAATGAGTGTATATTTTAGTTTGGTTCTTAAATCTGGTGTGTATGTTTATCTTTGTTAAAATTTACCTTACAGGGACATCTTGAAACTCGAGTGAAATATTTCAAGGTCCAATCATGATTCCTGACACCATGCAGATGAATAAATGTTGAATCTGCTAAGGCCTAGACAAGCCCAGACTAGGGATTGAACCCAGGGCTTCATGCATGCTAGGCAAACACTTTCCCACTGAGCTACACCCCAGCACAAACTTTTAAAATAACAAAGTTCTTAGTTGTCTTTTAGGCAGTCTCTGGAATCCACTGAAGGACAGTCTGAAACCAGCTTTTCAAGAATGCACTAGTGCAGAAGTAGCCAGCTCATCAGGTCAACGACCTCAAAAT